GACAATTCACTTATGATACCTTCAGTATCCCAAGTTGTAACGCTCTGGTAGTCAGAATTCCAGGACCCTCAACTTCAAAGGCTGCATCCCCCGGTCCCCAACTGTTTGAGTAAATGTCAACCATTTCTATTTTGTGAAGCAATGCAGCAGACTCTGTGGCATCAGTTGAAATTATGCGATCATCAAAGATACGAATACCTGGAATAAGAAGAAGACGATTTTTGGTTTGTACGTTATTTGCAGCAGGCAGGGTGCAGGACTGGTAGACAGAGGGAGACGCTAGTTGTGAAACATGGTCAGAAGTGGGACAAGCAGGAAAAAGTGACACCGTTGCATACTATAATATTTTCTATTATTATTCATAGCGCATTTTAGCATCACTAATCGCCAATTCGCCGTATGCCTTCAACAGATATATTGTCGGGGAAATACGTAGTATCCTGTTTCCGGTCTTGGGGAGAAAAATCAGTGGGAACGGCTTTTCCAACTTTTCTGCAATGAACTCAGTTAATTGTGCTTTGTTATCAATGCTATGAGTAATACTTAACAATTATCCTTCTTAATCTTGCGAAATATCCCCTGATTTTAGCCTACTCGGACTAAGGATTCATGCAATATTGCAGGATAATTGTTAAGCAGCCAAAACCCAAGGNGAGACGAAAATCAATGTCCAGGTATAAACATATCATGTGTTTGTTCTATCACAGTCAGATCCTCTTTGAAACGTAAATCTAGGAGAGAGGAAATCCCTAATCAGCGACAAATAAAGCCTGCTTCTCATATGATCACAGACGATCGCAAACAATTCTGCGATCCAGTGGAAACACACTTTTGAGAGACATGTTCTATCTTTTGCTAAATCATACATGGCACTATTCAGCTTCGATTAAACAGCATTGAATTGGTTTACAAGTGAGTACTTCAAGCTAAAAAAACCTGGCAGATGATCAAATCCTTCTCAAAAATCGAACACAAATAATGTTCAAACGACCTCTGACTCCAGTGGAAAAATGTCACATCCCCGCCTTACATGTAACTTTTCCTTGTTTTTCCTATAACTTAGTACTTGTTAAGTAATAGGTTGTAACTACAGCTGCTCCCACTCAGAAGAGTTTTTCAAGCATATNTTGCTACAAGATCCATCGCTCGATCCTTGAGCATCCATAGCACTATTGATTGGTAAATAGCTATCACTTGATCCAGTGTATTAATGTTAAAAGACGTTCTCACGTGAAACTCACAAAAACTAACAACTATTCACATCCGGACCTTATCCTTCGTTTGCTACGTTAATACATGAATGAGTCGGATTATTGAGCCGGCCTTTGATGTATTTGATGCTCTCTTTCCTTGCACTCTGTCTATATCGTATCATCCTCTTAACCCTTTACCCCCAAAGGCGAACGGCAGTCTTTTTCAAATCAGCAAATAAAGACTCTCTATCTGTGTACAATATACCATTTTAAAGCCACTGATCGGCCTATTTAAGATCTGACATCAGCAGCTATGAAGGAGGAAGTCATTTTGAGAGAAATTGCTTTAAACTAGCTCCCCCGTGCTGTGAAACTGAAAAACGTCCAACACTTATCAACTCTCAAATGTCATAGGTATAACCCTAAACTATAGCTTATTTAACAGGTCTTAGTACATAGCTTGATCAGAAACAAAGCTTGCATTCCATATGTGCATCTAAAAAAAGAAACTGGAAACTTGTGGGGGTGGTCAATGACGTCTCAGATAGGAGGGGGTCACAATTTTGTGCCTTCAATGAGTAGATCTTTACAAGACAATTTTCACGGCAAAAATTTACAGAAATCTCTCAAATATTTCCAAAGTTGATGCTGTATGCCAAATGGCACTCATCTGCGGCAGTTATATTGAAATCAGGCTTGATACATCCAAACAAGGAATTCTCGAATCATCTGCAGTCATATGGAAATCAGGCTTACAGGTACATCCAAACAAGGAATTAATTCTTGAATCATCTGCAGTCATGTGGAAATCAGGCTTAATACATCCAAACAAGGAATTCTTGAATCGTCTGTGGTCATATGGAAATCAGGCTTAATACATCCAAACAAGAAATTCTCGAATCTTCGGTCATATGGAAATCAGGCTTGATACATCCAAACATGAAGGAACTCTCGAAAGTACAGAGTGAGTGATCTGAGGAAACTGCTTACAGTCTTTGGTGGTCTTTGAGTCCACTGAGTCCATAAACGAGTTTAAATCCCCACAACATCAGTTGCCCTATCTAATTGACCTGCAACCAGGCATTCTTTTGTGGGATTTCAGTAAAAGACAACACCTGATCACAGGTTACCCAGTATCTATTGTATTGTACATCCTCTGGGTCACAACATATCACAACTTTTTTGTGAAATCATACTTGACATTTACATAAAATAATCATGCAGATTTTGGTCGATATTATTGCAAGCAATTAGCATGCTGACCTTTTTTCAGTCTATTTATAAACAGCTTTTCACCTTTTGCTAAAATACCTCTGTACTCTTTATTCCCTTGAAACATAATACAAATCAATCAAGTGAACATATTGAAAAGAAGATTTTGCATACTTTGGTTTTAGGAAGTAACAATTAAATAAGACACACTGTAAATATAATTATTTAAAGAAGGTGAAATTCAGCTGGACATGATACAAATTGTCAACATATATATACCTGCAATTTGGGCATTGAATGCTAATCCCACACCACACAGATTGTTGTTGTCATCACCAGCTATTATACCAGCACATTTATTGCCATGCCTGGAAAATAAATCAAACTTGTCTAATGTTCCCATGTTAATAAATTAACTACAAATCTGCAGACTCCACGCATGTGTACTTCAGCCAACTAAAAAACTAAAAAAAACCAAAATGTTTTATCAACTGGAATTGTTTCAAATGATTGAAATAAGTATTTATTTAATAGTTATATCTTAGTTTGTAGATCCTACACAGTGTACTACACAAAATAAATTAAACTGTAATAAGATTTAGAAGACAGATATTACTGAAGACTGAAGGAAAAAACAGCAATTTTTAGTCTGAAAGACATAATTTGGCTGGTTCTACTGCCATCATCAGTAGCAAAGCGAAACAGGATTGAATTGCAATTTTTAATATAACATTACTATGAATTGTATTGCCAATTCCCGCATGCTTCTCTATTGATAGAAGCGAGTGTTTCTTTTTCTTTTAAATGATGCACGTGAATGGAGAACACTCTGATGTTTACACAAAATCAGCATCATGTTCAAAAGAACTGCCTTCAGTTGGAATTTTTGCTGCATGCCGAGAGTGTAGCGAAAGGAAATGAAAACAAAGAAAAAGAATCAAGAAAATAACACCGTACTGTCATTTTCTTGGTCTTATGACTTACTGAAATTGGGTTCACCCACTCCATAACCTAGTTTGGTGCAGCCAGTCATAAAATATAACCCTGTTGTTTTATCATAACCTGCTTTTAACCAAGTTAAGGTATTATGGAATTTTCAAAACCTCATTAATAATTCATAAGGAAAATACAAAAGAAATTAATGTTTACNGCCTGGAAAATAAATCAAACTTGTCTAATGTTCCCATGTTAATAAATTAACTACAAATCTGCAGACTCCATGCATATTTTGGCTGGTACTACTGCCATCATCAGTAGCAAAGCGAAACAACATTGAATTGCAATTTTTATTATAACATTACTATGAATTGTATTGCCAATTCCCGCATGCTTCTCTATTGATAGAAGCAAGTGTTTCTTGTTCTTTTAAATGATGCACGTGAATGAAGAACACTCTGATGTTTACACCAAATCAGCATCATGTTCAAGAGAATTGCCTTCAGTTGGAATTTTTGCTGCATGCCGTGAGTGTAGCGAAAGGAAATGAAAACAAAGAAAAAGAATCAAGAAAATAACACCATACTGTCATTTTGTTGGTCTTATGACTTATTGAAATTGGGGTCACCCACTCCATAACCTAGTTTGGTGCAACCACTCATAAAATATAACCCTGTTGTTTTATCATAACCTGCTTTTAACCAAGTTAAGGTATTATGGAATTTTCA